CTTCTAGAGAAATTATTTAATTATGTTCAAGAAAATTTGAATGAAAAACAAACGGCAATCTAACACAACAATGAAATGATTAAAGTGAGATACAAAATAAACGTAAAAGAAAATCAAAAAATAAATTAAATAATCAAAGATTTTTTTATAAGAAAAAAGCAAAATAAATTAAGCAAATAATAGTTCATCAAATAATAAAGAAAAAATAATTAATTAAGTTTTATTTAATAAAAAAATCAAATAAATCAAATAAAATTTTGACAACGCAAGCATATTTTGTGATAGAAAACAAACAAAAATCTGGTCTGGTAAACAGAAAAAATGTGACGCAAATTATAATTTTTTCTAAAATATTATTTATAATACATTTAATACAATGAAATAAAGAACAATATTTTCAAAATAAAAATATCGATCGAACAATGATCGGGTCGAGTCGAATCAGGTTCTATAATTATCGGGTTCGATTTCGAATATGCTCCAAACGGGAGTTAAATAACAAGAGATTCCCGGTAAATTATAAACAGTCAATTATGTGTGTGATGAAGTAGCCCTTAGTGCGACAGGAGATTATAACATGATCAAATTTCAAAGGAAGTATAGAAAAAAAAAATATTACACAACGAAATTTCGGGAAATTACATACTTTAACACACCTAAATATTAAAGATAATGGCTTGCTTCTCTTGAAGATTTTAATTTAATAGGTAAACAAACGTTACACTTCGCTATTATCGAATGAATATGTCCGGAGGTAAGATTGAAATCAATTAATCTTGACCAGTACGTTATTTTTTTTTTTTGTTACAATCGTGAATCGAAAAGTCAAGTGTTCCTTTATAAAGTGCAGTAAAACAATATTTATTAGTCGCTGAGTGTGTTTTGTATCTCAAGTTACTGCCTGCTCTATGGTTGGAATATTTGATGGTCCCAAGGTATGTTTTAAATTATCATCATGTTTGGCATTTAAAAGACTTGCAATACGTTTACAATCCCAAAGATGCGCTGATACTTCCGTTGTGTTTGCCACCAGTTTTGAAATATTGTATAGACTTACATTTCTTGAATTATTAATGAATGTTATC